ACTGTTGGTGGGAGTGTAAAATGGTGCAACCCCTGTGGAAAGCAGTATGGCGCTTTCTCAAAAAGTTGCAAATAGAGATACCATTTGACCCAGCAATTCTTGCACTTTTTAGCAAAGAGAATGTGTATATCATGAAATTTCTGTGGACTTCAGTTTTCCCAACTCAATAATGACTTTTATCAGACTGAGTCAGCAGGTATTCTGTGAAGAGAAATACTATTCTATGTATAAGAGGTTGTTGTTGTTGTGTACTGTGGAGTTGGAACCAACCCATAGCCAACACTGTAGTGGGTTTTCAGGAGCTGTTAAGCTCACAGGAGAAGATTACCCATCTTTGCCTCATGAAATAGCTAGAGGTCTTCAACTGCATGCCTTTTGAGTTGCAACACAGTTTCTTGCTACTAGGACATCGGGCTCCTTATGTTCATTTAAATTTGGCTCATGTTTTGTATTAATTATTTGAGGAAAACTCTCACTAATCAGAATTTCAGTGTCCAGCATAGTATAAATTCAAGATGTTCATGGCTACTTCTCAGTTCTCCAGTAGTTTTAAAGTTTGTTAGGCTTGAAAACGTTTTATTTTTTTATGTCTTAGAATTTGTGGAATCATGGGGGTTAATTTTTTATATTATTTATGGTGCAAATTGTTATGTGGCTTTAAAGACAACTAACCACAGCGTAATTTGGATAGACGTATCCTGCAAATATATTTAAATCAAACAATAAACATATAAAATAGCATAAACAAGCACATATAGAAGAACAATATTGATTTCAGATAAATAAGTCACCTTCACAAATGATGTGAGCTTCATCTTTTGAAGAACACGATCTGCTGTTCCAAGGATCAGAAATACACTGCCACAGGGTGGTATCACTTTTTCGACACTGGATTCCATCCACCCACAGAGGCTGAGAGACTGTCCTGGTGGCAGCAGAATAGTTGAGATCCCCAGTGTGTCCACAGCCCAACTGTCCGCAGATGACAGACAGGGTGGTCGGCTCCATTGGGCTTCTGCAGACACTGCCCCACATCCCATTGTAGAAGATCTCCAGCCTCCCAGCACAGTCATGGTCCTCACTCACCAGCCTGAGGGCCAGGGATTCTGAAAGCAAAGATGGAAAGAATGAGGGCACTGACAGTGTGTCTGAGCCTACTGCTTACTTTTATCTTGGTAATGGGACTGCTTATGTTAGACACTGTGAGGGAATTTTACACATTGAAGAAGTTAACAAATTCCTTCCTGATCCATTTTTTTTTTTTTAAAAGTGCTTTTGTCCTTCCACTTGGACCAACTTGTCTCTCTTTATTGGGATTGGGAAAACTGAGATGAAATGAAGCAATAGTCCATAGATTATTTCAGTTTATGAGATGCACTGACTGCAAGAAATGGGTGAATACTTGTAAGATTATTATCTGTGATGTTAGTAAAGAATACTGAATATGCCGCGTGCTGGGGGGCAGGGCTGGGCTCGGGGAAAGGAAACAAATCTACCTTGGAAGAAGCAAAGCCACAGGGATCCTTACAAGCAAAGATAGTGGACTAACCGAAGCATGGAAGTGATGTCAGGGATGGCACAGGATAAAGCTGAGTTCAGTACTATTTTATGTGGGGTCGCTATAAGTTTGACTTGGCTTGATGACACCCAGCAAGTAGACTATGTCTGAGATGTTAATCTTTCTTTTATTCAGGAAAATCTGCCTTGTGAGGAGTAATCATTGCAGACAGAAAACCCCCATTCATAGGTATTTAAACAGAAAGATCCACCATAGGAGGACCCTTTGTGGCTCATTCAGCTTAGACATCCCAGGTCCCAGATCCCTACTCATGTGGAACTCCCAGGTGTGTCCCTCACGGTATGGACAAAATAAAGAGCAGACCTGAGCAGATGACCCCTGCGTCCTCCTTGTGTGTGCAATCATGCTTTCCCCAGCTCTGGGAAGGGCATTTCCACAGGTGAGACTCCTGTCCTGTGCAGTTCAACTCATCAATCCAGATGGGCCCTGTTCCTTTTCCAAAATGAGCAGAACTGGTGGCATCAATGGCCACTCCACAGGCCAGCTGTCTGCACACCACTTGTGCGTCGTTCATGTCCCAGCTGTCGTCACAGATGGTGCCCCAGGAGTCCTCATGGTAGACCTCCACTCTCCCATCACAACTACTGCTCCCATTCACCAGGCGGAGCCACCTCCTGTCTGAAATGAGGGTCATGTCAGTGAGGAATTTATAGAGGGAAGAAAAAATAATAAAAATGTAACTCTGTGTTTTAGAGCTTTGTGTGTTGCTCTTCTAATCCAAATATCATCTTTGGGTTAAAATTTTGCCAATAGTTTGAGGAAGAAAGATGCACAGTCTCTTCCCAGAAAGATATATAGTCTTGGAAACCTGATGGAGGATCCTTATGAGCTAGAATCAATGGAGGTGCATTTTAAATTCTGTAATGGGACTTCTATAGAATGGGACTGGGATCTGATTCTACATGACTTCTCACCTGAGCAGTTGGCAGCACTGTGCTCTGAGACTGAAGAGCCTGGTGGGTCAGACATTGAGCCGTTGCATGGGGGCAGCACCTGGGTCTGGTTTCCTGCAAAAGCAGCTTGAAGAGTTAAGTAATAGGAAAAAAGATTAAGAAAATAAAATTTCCTGTGGCAATTTGGGATTAAAAACTCTAGCAGTATAGTAATTATATCAAATGTTCAGTGTTGCAACATTGGCAAATATTGTGAGTTGACCTCTGTAGGAAGAGTTTTTAGGACCAAACTTAGGGAAAAGCAAAGGGCAGAGATGAGCCTTTTTTTCCCTTGGGGAGCTGGCAAATTCAAAGATGATCTGAAGAAATGAGAAGCAGGAGTTTTTCCAGACGTATTGACTAGAGAACAAGTATTTTAATTTGAGAAATGTTAGAAAGATGAGCTTTGTTAAGCATCCAGCAAGCTTATAACATAGGGAAATAAATGAACTAAGAATAGACATTCTACAGAAGATAGAAGGTTCAGTTCTAATTATCTAAGTTCTAACCAATTTAAAGCAAAGAGTTAAACACCTAAAATGATAAATACATATTTATACCAAATTTTATTGTCATAAAGAGTTGTAGCTTCACTATATGTAATAATAGTCAAATATTGAATACTCAAATCACCACCACCAGTTAAAAGAATGAAGATATTGTCATGTGTAATAGTCTACACAATAATTTAAATGAATCACTGCTTTAAAAGAGAACATAGAAGAATTACAAAGATAATATTGAATCAAAGAAGACAAAATAGAATATGCGGAATGATTTTATATAAAGTACAATATTCTATAGTAGTCAAAGGGAGGGGTTTTCTTAGGAGGAGTCGATAGCAGTGACTATAGGAATGTGCAGGCAGTATTTGGGGTGCTACTACTGTTCTTTTTGTTTATCTGGATTGTGCTTCTTCATTGTATTCATGTTATTATAAAAGACTGAGTTATATATTTATCATTTATACTTCCACTTGTATTACATATAAATGATAATAATTGTTGTTAAGTGCCATCGAGCCATAGATGATTCTTAGTGACCCTATGAATGAAAGACCTGACACTTGTATAACTTTCATTATTTCTCCAAGTTCATAGGGTTTCTGGAGGCAAGCTATTTTGGAAGTGGATGCCACTCCTACTTCCAAGCTTGTTTTAATTGGGGAGCTCCACCAAACACTGTTCACCATGGGTAATCATTGTCATATTTGACACATCAATGTCACAGTTTTTAGCATCACAGCAACCAGGAGTTACCTCTGTACAGCAAATAGACAGACCAGTGCTATACAATTTAAAAGAATGTTAAAAACAATTAAAATCAGACCTGAGGAATGTAGATTAAAATCAACCATCTATGGCCTAGGAGCATAACATTCTCTCCCCTAGGCCAACACAGCTTCTCTATGTTGTTGTTGTTAAGTGTCATTGAGTCGTAGATGACTCATAATGACCCTATGAATGAAGGATTTAAAACTTGATGGTAATGGGTAATAGAAAGTATACTATCCCTTTAACATTACTTTTTCTTATGTAAATGATTAATGTACAATGAAGAGAACTCTATTTTAGTGAAGAATGTCTCACTTTTGAAGTGAGATTTTCCTGTTCTTGGAGACATTTCATTTAAGAGCTAATACCAGTGAGCCTTTACTTCCCTCTTACCTGTGCAGATCACAGAGGCTGTGTTTCCATTGAGACATTCAGGAAGCCCCAGGGCAGTCATGGGGCAATCCCACAAAAAGGACTCATCCCCTGAGCAGTGAAACTGGTGTTTCCAGATTTGATCACTTCTTTTCACAGAATGTGTAGAGAGGGCCATCCCACAGTTGAACTGACGACAGACTACATTGGCATTGGCCGTGCTCCAGTAAGAGGCACAGAGTGGCTTCCAGATTCCAGAAATCCTCATCTGCACTTGTCCCTCACATGGAGAGCTGCCATTGTTCTTGAGTCTGACTTCCGTGTAGTCTGATAGAAGAATACAGATGTCACCACATTGTTTGCCTTGCCTCAATAGCACATGAGGGTAGATTTACAAAAAGCTGCTCTGAGTCTCACCTGAACAAAGAAGGTGGACAGCCCCACCATGGGGACAAGTGCCTCCAGGACAGTGCACTCTGGGAAAAAACCAGATCTCGTGCCCCTCCCACTGGAAGTGTTCAGTCAGGACCTGCTCTTTAACTTTTCTGAAAGGCATGTCCTCCAGGATAGATGCAACTTTTCCACATCCAAGCTCTGCACAGATGACCTGAGCGGTAGTGTAAGTGAAATTTACATAAGACACTGGATTCCAGACTTCTCCTGAATTCACTTCTACTTTCCCTGAGCAGAGCCCTGTTCCTCCAAATAGACGGACAGATCCTGTGGGAGAAAAAACAAACCCAGTGAATGTTCACGAGCCTTGCTTGGCATTTGAAAAAGACGTGCTACAAGTAATGATAGAAAATCTCCCAGAAATTGAATGTTGGAGAAGATTCAAATGTAGGTATCAAAGTGAGATCTATATGAGGCATTTTTCTGAAGAAGAATCCAATGGAGTTTGAAACATAAATGTTCTATGCTTGACTCCTTAAAACACACACATTGGAAAGAAATACATTTTTCATATTGGAACCTGGGATCTAGAGGATTTGAGAAAATTCAGTAACGATACAGGTATTGAAACATGGTTGTGGAGGTATATAAAGAATTAACTCAGATGAGAAAAAAAATGAGACACTGCCTATTGGACAATAGAAACCTATCAGCCAGACAAGATGGTCATCTTGGGGCATTCAAGGCTATAATTCTGTCATGTTTCTTTCTCTTATCATCCTCAGAGGACAGAAAATGAAGAAAATCATGAAGCCTGGATGCATGCATGCTTATCAAACGAGAGACTGAAAAACAGTTGAGGAGAAGAAGTAAACATTTTATAACTAGTTCATTTTGTGGTCTCACATTTTATTTATCAGATTACTTCTAATGGTTAAAAACCAAGAAGAATTTCTTAGGTCTTCTAGACAGAAAAGTAGTTGTCCACAGATGAGTCTGGATGTTGAGGAAACTCAGAGATATTGGGATGTTGATAAGGTAGGGTTGGTGACACTAGTCATCTGCTTTTTAGGATTTTACTTACCGTCACCTTGTGAGAGAGTCATTTCTCAGGGGAAGTGTGTGAGACTAATCACATTGCAGACCGTATCTTATCAGTTGTTTTTCTGAAGGATGTGAAACTTAGCAAATTAAGAAGTAAAAGCGTTGTTTTATTCTTATTATTGTATTAACGATGATCACATAAAATTTGTATTTCTCTACTACTTTCATGACACAAGTAAGTTGTGAGCATGTGGAAAAAAGGAGATTGAGTGTTAGGAAGTAGAAAGTAAGCAAGCCATATTATGAAGACTTCTAAATGGCAAAAGTCTCAATTAAGATGAAAGACACAAATATTTTTGAAAAGTATTTACTAAATAAATTTTAACCATATTTCATTGTTGTATGCTTACTTTTTTGTAATTTTTTTCCATTTGAAAGATTCTTTTTCTTAGTTTTTTTAAAAAAATTATTATTGATTTCAATGAAACTTTACAGAGACTTTGGATTTCCATTCATTCACTGTTGCACTTTTCTCCCCTCCCAATCCTCCACCCTAGTACACTACCCTCTTGGAAAAGTAAAAGAAAAAAGTCTTTCATTGTTTTACAATCCCTCCCCCCAGGTCCACTCCACTATGCAGCCCAATCTGGACTCCTTTCATGACAAAAGTACCTAATCACATATCCCTTTTAAACAGTTTTCTCCCTCATCTGTTTCAATGCAGTTATTGAACCCATCTTTCTCAGTCTCTCCCCAAACCCAAGGTCACTCCTGTTTTACAACAGTGGCACCATGCAGTATTTGTCCTTTTGTGACTGAGATACTTCACTCAGCATAATGTCCTCCAGGGTCA